TTTATTTACATATTTATTAAGCATTATCGTGTCTTATACTAAAGAAAATAAATACAATTAAATGTAAATATAAAGCAAAGGGTGTGTATGTTAGTGTTGTGGGAGCTAGTGTATGAAATGTTGCAAGACATAATATATATAATTTATTTTATATTATACATTTAAAGAAAAAGCACCTACAGAAGCATGCATCAACGCTTGGGTCGCAGCTAATGATTATTATTTTCTCAGTTAATCAATTAATCATTTTGTCTCCACATGCATGAGTGAAAAATACTCATTAACAGTCTCAAAAAAAAATCAATACACTACATACTTGACGAAAAAGAAGACAAACAGTTTGCAAGGTTACGATTCTATCAGTTAATATAAAATGAAGAAAAGCAGCAACTCGTCACTGGCATTCAAGCAATCATGTTTCAGAGCCTGCATGACACGTTTTAGACAACGTGGGTTTGAACTCATCTTAAATCCTAAACTGTCAGAATTACAACACGGCCAGCTATAAAGCTCCTACAAAACCACCGTCTACCCACACAAGTGTTTTCACTTCATCCACCTGATCAGAGCTGAGCTTCTCAGGCCTGTGTGGGCGTGTACAGACTGTTGTCTCTCTTATTAGTTTGTTGCATCTGTTAGGGCGTCGACAATTAACGTATTTATCATTTTAATTGGTACATGGAGTTTAGTACGCTCACATATTTCCCAGCATACCTCAGCCCTACATCAACCTGTGCAGAGATCTAATCAGAATAAGTGAAACACCTGTGTGAGTGTGCAGTACCTAAAAATACACCTGGACACAGCCACATCAGGTGCAAACGACTCGCTCCACCTGCCTGAGAGGCTCCTTGCAAAAACACAAAGGGTGCATTCTGAATCACATACTTTTTCTTTTTACTTTTAGTAGGTACTGAAGCTGTCCTTAAAAAGTACAAACTGTTGCACAAAATCGGGACATACTACTTCCTCACAACGTTACGCCCTGAACCTTGACCCTCTCACTCATATATCCGCTACCATGGAGATAAAACAAAATAAGTTCACCAAGCTCGCCAGAGATGAAGGTTTGGGGTTTATTTCTTACACATATTTTGTTATTCAATATTGACTTAAAGGGATTTCCACATAGAACTGCCTGCAAAGGTAATATTTTCTGTCTCATCTTGAATTTTTTTTAGATTAATCTGATATAAACTTTGAAAAAAAAAAAAGACTTTTCCAGAACAAATACTGTTTATCCCTCCCACTGCTCAACAGACAGATTCAAGAGGTCATTTATTCTCAATGTGAACCACTTTAATTTTAGGTTTACAGTGCAGTGACGATTACAACATTGCGCTGATAAACAGTGATTTCTCCGAAAACAATTGTCTCAACTTGTTTCTGTACATTCACGTCATTTTACAGCGTCATAGCCCTGAAGATAACCTGTAATGTCTCTGAGCCGTGAAGTACACTCTGATCTGATCCTTGATTCAATCACTGATCACTATCAGCTATAATAAGCCAAAATGAACACTAAAAAAAGTCCCTGCACTTTCTATGACTTTGCAGTATGCTAAAGAGGAATGCCCAGACTGAAGCTCCTTCAACAGCAATAAACATTTCACTCAAGCTGGTTGGAGCGTCACAGAAAATGTCTGAGTTCTGTTGTCAAACCCTGTCAAGGTACCTCCTGTGTGACTGAAATTGGGCTTTTGTTTTGCTTCTTCTTCTCTGGATAAGTGAATAATTTCCGCGAATGATTGAGGCAGGACAATTTCACCTGTTTTCCATGCAAAGCCGCTTGTTTCAAGAGTGCTTTACAATCAAGTGTGACAGTCGAGTGATCTCTTATTATTCTAGCAGAGAGAAAAGTCTCAAAACAGGAAAGGCTACACAGGGAACGAGTGGCATTTACTGCTTTCTTTAGAGGAAAAGAGACTCAAACACAATATTAAATGTCTTGTTCAGGGGGATATTTTTTGCAGCGGAGAGGTTATGAATGCATTGATTTTGTTTTAGATGCTGATATTTATTATATTTGGTTTGTTATTACTCAACAATATACTGCTTATTTTTAAACTTATTGCATGTGTCAAAACAAGCGACTGAAGTCATCTGTTTATGGTCTGAACCTGAATCACAGGAAACATCTGCTGAGATGATGTAATGTGATAAATAGACAGAAAATCTGTTTCCTTTTCCAATCCAGTCCATCTTCAGAAAAGTGCAGTTTTATCACAGCAGACTGAAATCTTTTACTGTTGAACAATCTCTATGTCCTTTGCATTCTTTATCTTACTATATAATGATGAAAACTCTGTCTGTGGGTGTGTCTGTGTGTCTGTTCCATGTTTTTCTCCTCACTGACTTGGTCAATCCATGTGAAATTTGGCACAGTGGTAGAGGGTCATGGGAGAATGCGAATGAAGCAATATTACATCAATTGGCCAAAGGGGGGCGCTATAGCAACCAATTGAAATGACAAACTTTGAATGGGCATATCTCATGCCCCGTATGTCGTAGAGACATGAAACTTTGCACAGAGATGCCTCTCCTCATGAGGAACACATCTGCCTCAAAAACCCATAACTTCCAGTTATATAGATTTTCTGCCATTTTGAATTTTTTGAAAAACACTTAAAATCAATCTCTTCTGGGGCGTCGATGGCTTGGTGAATAGAGCAGGCACCCCATGTACAAGGCTGTTGTCGCAGTGGCCCGGGTTCGAGTCCAGCCTGTGGCCCTTTGCTGCATGTTATCCCCTCTCTCTCTCTCTCTCTCTCTCTCTCTCTCTCCCCCCTCCACACTTGGATGTCCTATCCATTAAAGGCAAAAATGCCCAAAAACATATCTTTAAAAAAAAAAAAAAAATTGATCTCTCCTAGGAAGTTTGACCGATCTACATGAAACTCGGTGAACATAATCTAGGGACCAATATCTAAAGTTCCCTCTTGGCAAAACTTACTAAAACTGAGCTTCTATAAGGCAATGAATATTGCGGAGGGCGTGGCTCATCACATAAAGGTGTATAACATGTCAAGGGTTTCACCAATCACCACGCAACTTTGTAGGCATATGACCACACATAATCTGAGGGGACCCCTCCATTATTGACCCCATCAAACAAAATGGGGGCGCTAGAGAGCTAATTTCTCATCTAGGCCTAACCGCCACATTGATTTTTACTAAACTTGGTAGATATGTAGAACAGGACGCCTCAAGGTGACTGGAGAAATTTAACTCTAATTGGCAACTGGGTGGCGCTATAACAACAGAAAAATGCTTAAAAATGGCTAAAATGCGTCCGATCACTGTGGCTCCCCCTGTGGACCAATGTTTGGTTGTTTTTTTTTTTCTAATTTTTGGTATGACTAAGTCATGGTATGGTATGCTGTACATAATCACGGAAACTGTCAGTGTGTCATTCTGTCAGTCAGTCATTCTGTCTGTCCAACGTTTTTCTACTCACTGACGTGGTCAATCTATGTGAAACTGCACATAGGCATTGAGGATTGGCATAGGTAGAAGCTGACAAAGCTGGACTTGTTGTATTTAATGAACTTCCTTCCTGATGTACGAGGCGTCTTTAGTGTGTTTCTATTAGTGATGCACCGATTGCAATTTTCTTGGCCATTCCAATTTCCTATTTTTTCAAAGTCTGACCTGCCAAATTTTTTATTTTCTTTCTTTCTTTCTTTCTAATAACTATAATTGACAACACTGACAAACATATTTGGAACTATTCTTTGGACCACGACTAACCAGTTGGGAACCTGCTTTAAAGAATATTTGGAACTATTCTTTAAAGCAGGTTCCCAACTGGTTAGTCGTGGTCCAAAACTGGGTCCTGGGTCCATTCTGAATGGACCGCAAGTGACTCGCAAGCATGTCAACTTTGTAAAAAACACTTAATTTGTTAAGTACAGTGAATTTTGGAGTGTTTCCTGTTGTAGAGTGAGTGACTCATGGACAGCTACTTAAAGACATAGCCAATGACAAGTATGACACTGAATATATCAAACTGTGGGGACCTTGAATTAATGACAAAGGACATATCTGACCCCGTGGATGGACCAGTTGGGAACCACTGATATAAAGCCACTAGGCACTTGACTAGGAATAGTTATAAATGCATATATGATATCAACAATGAGTGTCTCATTAAGCATCCACAAAAATCTGGTTAACTAGCAAACTAGGTTAGACCAAGCAACTCCAACTCTACCTCCCGTAATATGGCGTTATCTTTTTAGCATTTTCCATTCAATTACATGAAACACTTAGCATTAGCTTTTCTATGTGAACGTTTGGAGCTCATTATCAACTCTCCCAGTAGTCTGCTAGTTATCTTAATTAATCAGCTAACCTGCAGAGTAGGGTAGGCCACTCATATTTGTGTTTTTATTGAGTTATACCTCCAGGACTAAAAAGCAAATTGTTTTAGTATCGTCCATCTAGTTAAATGAAACAGTTAGCAATAGCTTTGCTATGCTACACTTCTGTGTTACCTAACAACTTTGTGATTAACACAGATTTGGGTGGTATACCCCAGTCTGTTAGTTATGGTAACACAGTAGATTTCAAACCATGTGTAGCATGCATGGGAATGAATTACAACTTTAAAGAACAACGCACAAACAGGACCTATACATGCATTAAATGGAGAAATGTCAGAGCAAGGGGAATGCCCGTGGACAGGTGCCATGCCTTGCTCAAGGGCACCTCGGCAGTGCCCAGGAGGCAAGCTGGCATCTCTCCAGCTACCAATCCACACTCCATATTTGGTCTGGACAGGGGCTTGAGCCAGCGACCCTCCGGACCCAAGTCCCTGTGGACTGAGCTATTGCCACCCCTGTGCTGCTATTTGCGACGTGAACCACTGGGCGGTGCACACAGTAAATTTGATCGGCACAGGATCGACTATATTTAAGACTAACTGGCCGACTGGAATTTCCCGGTTCTGGTCACCGTTGATCAATTGGTGTACCTCTAGTTTTTGTGCTACACATTACCTTCTGCATGCCTTGCAGAGCCTGCTGCAGGAAGCTGAGCTGCTGAGAGTGTGTGCTGTCCTCCTCACTGCTGATTGGTTGGTTCTTGCCCTGTTCTTGTTTGAGGAGCTCCACCTCGTTCCTATAGGCGTCCAGCTGACAGCGCAGGGAGTCGTTCTCCTCCTTTAAGGCTTCTGCTTGGGAAACACCTACAGATTCATAAAGTACACAAACATACATAATGACATATTATTAGACTGTCTAGGAAAGAATTTAATTGGTCTAGTTTCTGTCTAATGTCAAACTCTATTGTTCTCTATTTGAAGGTTTCCATTTCAGGTGTCAACAAGAAACACAAACATATTTCTGTTGATTCTGTAACCGATTCTTGAAATTACAACCTCTAGTAACATATCCATGAATGTCAGTAACCTTTAGTGAAGAACATACTTGACTTCTGTCAAATGTAAGATTTTTTTCACAAGTAGTCCACTGGTAACACCCAAATTAAAGCACCTCTCAGCCTTATACAGTGCACACACATATCCACTGACTCTAAACTGTAAATAACATTCTAAGCCTTTTTTCCTTTACCTCGTACAGAAGCATTGAAAATACCATGACATTTTTCAAAACGCAGCCGCAATATTAATTCTGTTTAATCTCAATAACAGGAAAAGTGCAGAGAACCCCCCCAGAGACTTAGACAAAGAATCATTCTCCTTCTTTTGCATTTGTGAACCAAATGCAGACTATGAGAGCGTTTTAGAAATTATGTTCCCATGCAGCACTAAAATACAATCCCTTTTGAAAAATGGCAAAAAGTGCCTTTTATCTCTAAATAGGCTTTTGACTTCAATAGGATTCTCCTTTTTCCTGTTCTTTTTTTTCTCCCATTAACTTTCCTGAAGAAATTTAATTCCTGATGACCTCGGTGACTGAAAGTAGAACAAAGCTGATTAATTGATTTTGATCTGAAATCCACTGCTAATGTATTAATAAATGCACAAACGTAGATTTTTCGATACACTCACAAATAGAGGCTTGAAAGTCTAATTTGTTGCCAACTCTGAAATAGTATCCCACAATAGGCAAAGGGTCGGCTCATACAATGTGTACATGACATTTAATTAATGTCATGGTTGAGATGCTGTATCTAACAGTCACTGTTAAATCGGAAGAATGTACTCTCAATGATTTACAGCTACAAAATCATTAATGATCATGCCTGCTTCAGGCAATCTTGTAATATCTATTTCAAGATGCATGTTGCACTGGTGACCTTTCCCACTGACTGAATGGAGATTAAATAACTATTGTCTTGTAGCTCTGGAGTTATAACACTCCTGATGAAGCCTTGGAGCCCTCAGGAGCAAACAGACTGACCATCATGCATCTGTGTGCTGGTGGAAACACATAGAAATTGTGCATATTAGGTCTGGGATATGCTCAGAAGGAGGTTTGTGTTTGATGTGTTGTCCAACAATGTTCGAAGGGTTTATATCAAAGACTATGTAAAACAATGGAAGTAGTCACCCTGATGTCACCCACTGGTTTGTGAACTCCCGTTCTGAAGCCTTGAGTTTGGTATTTTGGCCGTCACCATCTTGGTTTTTTGGAGCCATAAGTGACCACATTTAGACAAGAGGGAGGAGCTGTGGAGGAGCGAGAGGTGGATCTGACTCACAGACTGTAGCGACACCTTGCAAACAGCCTGTCACTTATAGCTGACCCGCCCTTAATTACGCATAATTTAAGCCTTAATAAAATGTAATTGGCCGAGTTGTATAAAAATTCACCCACCCTTACAGTTGTCATTAATGTTGGCATTAGCTAAAGAGACCAAAATGTGTTTTGGATCTGGCTGTGAACACTGGGCATATGAACATGGCGGTATATGGGGATCGACTTGGTTTTGTGTGGAAGAAGTGGCCATCTGAGGAACTGCAGTTTTTGTCACTTGTGCTCAGTTTTTTAGCTCCGGAGATTACTGCTTGGTTTATACCCCACTTGAATGACCACAGTTGTAGGCAGGGTAAAAATCCAGCTGTCAAAGACAGTTGGGACATGTGATATTATTTAAGTATGGGGATAATGTGCCTTTCTGAAGCTGTTTGACCGCCAACAAAGCAGTTCTGACAAGGAATCTATATATCCTCCTGAGACCCTGAGGACATCACATTTACTTGACCTTATACTTCACTCAAGTTAGCTCAGCCCTATTGTCCTCATTTGTGGACACTTTTGTGTGCCATCTAGTGGTAGTAAGAGCACAATACACTAATTCATGTAAAAACAAGATGGCATCCTGAGACAAAAGTGGACAAGGTTCAAAACCTGATCACAATTTATGATTAAAACTTATTTATGATTAATAATGTTTGTAGCTTGATATGACAAAAAAATGACCAATGTCAGCAACAGTAACATGCTAAGACGCTGTTAATTAGGAAGCACTCGTTGGGAGACATTGGGACTTTATTATCGTCAATAATGTTTCATTTTTATACTTATCGGGTCCTACTGATCCCAAATAGCGGGGAAAAATTAAAAATGCATAGGGCATGTAGGGTGACTCAACAGAGATATATGCCAGCTGACGTTAGCTAAATAAAGTGCAAATGCTAACTTAGTTCATTAGCAAACAAAGTAACAAGTACCAGTGAGTGATGATGGTCCAGATTTACAAGATTTTGGCAATTAGCTCCACCTGGTGATAACAGGAAAGATTATCTAACATAAGACCTGCTAAATATTATTACATATCATTAACAATTTAAAGTTTGGTTAGTTACTGAAAACCAAATACATGTACCCACTAACAGTAGGTAGCATTTATCTATCTTGGATCCAACAGAGGCTTGAGATAGAGCTGCTGGAAAGAACCATGATCTGTTTGGTGACCAATACCAAGGGAAATGAGTTAGATAAGAAACATCAGTTAGCATCACGTAACATGTGTTTTTTGAATCTGGTTGAAGGATTTTTCAGTCAAAGGTGAAACAACAAAGATATGATTTGCCATGCCCACCTCGCTGACTTCAATAGAACTGACACCAAAGTCCGGCTCCAATGCAATATTCAAACGCTGACACTGACATCATGACCTTTCCTTCTTTTATAGTTTCCTTGAGTTCTGATGGAGTGTACTGCTGTTCAAAGCTTTTGTCCAGAGCTACAGTTACAGAAACACCACTATTACATCAGTTACAGTCTGAGCTTTCCATCTGCTGCTTAAATCAAATTAACTGCCTTGTGATAACACAGTCCTTCCCATAATCTAGTTATCCATATCAGGTAGCTCGAGAGCTTGACGGTGCCCTGATGTCCAACTGTAGCATCTGTAGCACACAAAATACACTTAGTTCAATCCTCTGTTTTTTTACCTTACTTAAGTCAAACTGCCTGTTTGCTCTCCCACAGTACAGTATGTTTTTCTCTTGGGCAGTATCAGTAATGTCTTTAACATGCTTTGTTTTATGGTAAGGGTTTTCCACCTCCTCTCAGTTTCTGTTTTCACACAACTCTTACATCAGCAGAACACTTGTGGGTTTGCCAGGGTGTAAATCAAAATTCATCAAAAGATGTGCAGTTACTTATTAATTAACAGATAAATGACTGTTTCATGAACTTCATCATCATTTTATTTTGAGGGCAATTTCCACCTGAACAAAAGTGATACGAAAATATTGTTGTCTAAGGTTGTGTAAATGAGGCTCTTTCTTTCCAGCATTGCAATAATCTAAACTGTAAAATCTACAACAGGTCCATACTGCAGCTCATTCCTTCAAATTATATACAGAGGGATGTAAGAGCATGATTCACAGTCCCTGTGAAAATTGTGTTGAATTTAATTGAATCTGATTGAGCTATCTCTACCATTCGGTTTAGGTATGTCATGCTAAAAAAAATCCTCTAGATGTCGCTGTGTCTTAAAATAGTAAGCCTTTTCAGTTCACCTCCTCCACGAAGTTAGTAACAAAAATAAGGCCCTCCAGACATAAGAACTCTGTGTGGTGGGGTTTTCAATGGTAGGCATGTTAATTTGACATATTATCGAACAGATTTATGTAAGTTTATATAAAAGGTAAAAGTCTAATAAGGGACAAATTATTTTTTAAAAACATGCTCTACTAATTGATTTGTCTTTTTATGGTAAAGGTAGTGAAGTGAAGCTAAGCTAATTATTATTATTAATTATTAATTTAAACTGAATATTTGCCAGGAAAAAAAGAAATCTTCCAATCATTTATTGTTGTTAAATGACACATTTAATGTTAAACATTGTATATATGGTGAAAAAAATATTGAAAAAGTATGGTTTTTACTGTTTGTTTTACTATATCAAACAGCTGAATTGAACTTTTATAATAAAGGTAGTGATGCTAAAATAATAAATTCACAATTTTTATGAAATAAAAAAAAGGATGAATATTTACTGTTGTTCATACAATAAATTTAATGTTATAAAACATATTAGTTTGATTTTTTTTATTTTGAGATGTTTTCAAACCATTGTAATGGTAAATATCTATAATATTAACCACTGGAAATATAACTAGTACTGGTAATACTACTGATTCCATGGTCACAAGTTGATATGTGTTGGTATGCTAACTTATTACAAGCATTATAACTGAACATGATTTTTAATTTTCATTTTATCATTACCATTACGGGCCATCTCAACTGTTTGGTAGAGGCCTATATTCAAAAACAACTGGATCTGTTAAAAAAATAAACATTGATTTTTGTTGTTATAGCCACGAGGAAATAAAAAATGCAAAGAAATACATTTCCATTGCTGTTTTTCTTAATAAGTGTGAGTGTAAGTTAAAGTGTTAATCAAATTATTTTCAGTGTGAGCCCAATGCACTGACTGTCAGCCAAATCTAAAGGACACCCAATAATCAGATGTCTAATATTTCATTCAGAACAGCGCTGAAATAATGATATAGATAAGATGGTATATCCCATTGTGTTCAATTTCACCTGTGTGATTAACACACATTGTATGTATGTTTCGTGTGTCGAGAAATACTGTGAAAGGAATCTGTTTTTATTCCTCTCAAGCTGTGTATGGAAACATGATTAAATTAACAACACATGCTAATATTCAGATGGAAATGGAAACCCCAGCTTGTGTGCTAATGTGTGTTTTCTCCCAGCAGGACTCAGTGAGGCAGAGAAAGGGTGAGGGGAATATTGATTATCAAGTTGTATGAACTTGCTGCCCAATGAGAGCCAAAAGTTTGACCAGATTCTGTCCAACATCCCCTGTGTTTGCTCTGAATGTTATGAACACTAACATATGTGCCTGTAGGCATGCACGCACACATATGCACCACGCTGGGAGAAGATCAACAGTTTATTCTCTTATTAATCTGTGTGCAGTGACAGAGAACCCTCAGCTATATATTAGGGTTTCTTTCTCAGCATCTATGTGTCTATGTGCACATTGTGTACCCAGCTACACAATTTATCAGATTCCACAAAGTATGTCCCTAATACGATGTGTTGGAAGCTTCAGCAATGCTAGTGTTATTCCCTGTGTAATATCACAGGTTTGTTTTTTGGTTGCATATCAGATTTATCAGTGCATTTCTTCATATTCACCACAGTAATAATAACAAAGCATCTCCCAATATGAAGCCTAAAGGGCGCAACTTTACTTCAGAGGAGAGATTTCAGGAGATTAGCTCTATTTCCTGTTCTGCACAGCTTATTTATCTCTTATTGTGCTGCCTGTTTCTAATATCAGATTACAGGGTCTTTTCAGAGGTGATGCAGGCACAGATGTGCTCTGTGTTTGTGTGTGATTCAAGGTTCAATGACTTTTTTTTGTGGTTTTAAGGGGCTCCTTTGTGACAAATAGTTGAAATGCAATTTTTGTGTAACCAATTTGATTGACCCCACCTTGTTTATAATGACTGTACTTAGGGATTTCATACTGTACATTTCCATGAATTCCTTTCATGGATATAATGAAAAAGTGCAGGAGATCAATACTGTGCTCCAGCAAGGCCGTGACATCATTTCTGCCCACAACAGCCCTTGCTTTTAAATTTACCCAACGTTTAAACTTGAAAAGCAGCTGAGGTTGATTTAATGTTTGGACAATGTATCCAACAGTGGCCAAATGCATTCTGTGTTATAACCATTAATTTTATCATCACTAAACTGACAAGAGGCAGTTTATGAAAAACACAAGCTGTTTCCAAACCAATGAGAATATACTGATTGCAATTTGGTTTTACGTTTATACTTTCACACATTAAAATCATGCAAACTTGAAGTGCTGGATTTTCGAGTGTGAGTTTAATGGCCTCCACTGTCACACAACTCAATGCACAATCAAATAAATGAAGGAGCTACTGACAATGTGGGATAATGGTGAACAGTGGTGGAGAGCACCTAAGTACAATTAAGTTTGAGGTACTTGTACCATTTTCTGCTGCTTTATACATCTATTCCACCACAATTCAGAGGGAAATATTCTACTTTTTTTACTACACTACATTTATTGGACAGCTTTATTTACTTGCTTAATACCAAGAGCTGCTGGAGCACTGCAGAAGCCGAGGCTGGCGGGCTCTCAGAGAGCCAACTGAAGTGGGTTGCTGGGGATTTGCTGGGCGCTCAATCTGTAAAGTGATAGCAGGGCTAGGAGTAGCCACAGCTGCAATGAGGAGGGCCATTCGAACCATTACTGAAGCCGCAGAGAGAGCCACTCGGTGGTTTTGGATAAAGAAGGCGAGCCCTTGGATTGCTGCGGCTGGGATGCAATCCTGTACTTGATGTACTTGGCCCCCTCTGATGTTGCCTCAATATTAATAATCATAATAATCTAATCATGTAATATAATTATTCTGAAATGGGATATTCTGTGTAATGAGTACTTTAACTTTTTGGTTATTTAAGTATATTTTGATGCTAATACTTTTGTGCTTTTACTTATTTAACATTTTGAATGCAGGACTTTTAACTGTAACAGAGTACTCCCACAATGTGGCATTGCTACTCTTAGTAAAAGTACAAGATCTGAGTACTTCTTCCCTTTCTGACGAGGGGTGTGGTCCCAGCTCAGCTTTTTATTTGTGATGTTATAACATTTAAAAATGAGGAGTAGTGTCCCAAATTAACATTATGCTGGATATCCACCAGGGCAGTGTTCGATATTTGCTAACACAACATGCTGTGTAAAAAGATATTACACTGAAAGTGGTGTTTCTGCAGCAACTTTGAGTATCAAATTGGAAATTTACATACAAAACACTGATGGGCATGTACAGTATGGTAGGATAATATTTGTCAGTATCCTTTGTGCGCACCTCATTCAGCCCAGATATTTTTACCTGAGTCCTCAGAGTCTTTGCTGTTGGTAGCGGAGGAGTCCTCTATGTCTTCGTCAGACATCTCCATCTCCTCTTCTCCTCTGATGCCCATCAGCTGCTCATTGTGCATACTTCTAATGTTCTGCAAAACACAAAAACAGAAGCAGGTAAATATCTGCATTTTGGATCGACTGCATACTTTCTCTAAAACAATGTCAGACCACATAAAATGTGCAAACCAATGCAAAAACACACACAGAGAGCCATCTGTTCAGTGTCTTCAGGGTTTCAGCTCAAGGTTAACAGGGCCCAGACATTCAAACATGTAGCCTTTAAATATAGACACACATCTGGGCTGTCTGGAGAGAATGACACCACGCAACACCCGTACAAGCAGATGCTGTATTTGTCAGAGGTGGGAGGTGGTGACAGGGTAACATGTCACCCCTGAAACTCACATTTGAGCTCCTGAGGAGTGAAAAATATGAGCACCTGCGGTGTTCACTCGGATGATCATGATAAAATAATTTGGAATAATGTGAAAATAGTTTGACCTTCACTTTGGACACGGTTAGCTTGGTACAGCTTGACCTGCAGAGAGATTATATTGTCCTGTCAACCTCCTACCTTACTATTATTACCTAGTAAGCACACACACGCACAATGAGCATGCATCTGTTCTATTATCACATGGGAGGGCACATGGCCTCTCTTCCCTGGTTAATGCAGTGTGAAAGTATAGAACAGATAAAAGACAGGATTAAAACAGGCTATTGAGCATGTTAAAGAACTAAAGATCAAAGAGCACTGTAATCCCTCATGAATCTGACGTCTTGCTGTTAATGCCAAGAACCCCCTAAAATGCCATCCTTGAATGTTTCAAAGCAGTCGTGGATGAAACATGATTAAAAAAACAACCTTTTGTTACGTGCGACTGCTGAAAAAAACCTTACATTCAGACATTTTCTCATCAAACTCAAGGGCAGAATAACAACACAAAAAACACAACATAACTGCAACGGTGGTTACCTATCTACATCTGTTTCCCTCAACCATCCTCTTTTCAATTTGTCCACTCCACTTCAATTTCCTGTGACATGTCAATGGGGACAAAAAAAAAAAACGGTGTCCCTTAAGTGACACAACAGGCTTCACCTTTGTGAGAGCAAACATGGACGTGACATTGTGTCTGTGCAGATGATTCTCCGCAGCAAAAGCCTGTGTCCTAATATAATACTAAGACTGATTCTCTGTGGTTTTCAATACATCAGGCCTCTCACTAAAGTCACAGATGTTGTTTTCAAAATAAGATCATTCATTTTAAAAACTGATACATACTCTAAAAAGTGACTGTGACATTTAAAACAAGGCAAATATTTGTAACAAAACCTTTAGAGACAGATTTACTCTTTTGGTTGACAAAAAGGGGGGGGGCTTTGTTGTCATGGTTACAATAATAAGCTTTCAAATAAGACTATAACCGCCATGAGAAGCCAACATTTACTGCTGGTAAGAAAAAAGAAACAAACAGCGATCTGCCACTTTTAAAATCCGACATTTGGCTGTGCCGACCATCCACACTGACCTCCTCCATCTGTGGCCCATCACAACGTTACACTACTTACTCCTTTGCTTCAGATGGAAAAGAGTCATAGTTCCTCCAACCATTAGAGAGCGATGTCATTTGAAACTGAACTTTAACTTTAACGCATGTTGTTTCTGGGGATCTGCTGGCTGGTGCTGTTTTTTATTGGGAGGATGGTCTCACTTATGCTGTCTTCACATGAGCAACTCAGCAACAGGCTACAAGTCATGGTAGTTTGATGAATGTCTTGTGGGTGTGGTTTAGGTAGGTGGAAGGAGTCAGGGTCAGCACTGACGTAACACTTCTGGGTTGGTGGTAATGACTCATTTGCCGCCGTTAGTCTGGAGGGAGAGCTGGGGAGGCCTTTAAGCTAAGCGAGCACGCCACAAGGGAGACACCGAAGGCAAGACATTCTGTAGACGAAAGACACTGAGAAACCGTTTGACATGCCACCATGAATAATCCATGTAAATACATATTCACTCTGAACAACCATGAAGAATGGTGAGCCCAACAGAATGGCACCCGAGGGGTGTCCAGCAGACTTGTCCAGTCCGAGCAAGCTGGTCGTGAGGCGCAAGAGCAGTGGCCCTTGTGGTGAGTCAACCACACAAACCCCCCCCCCCCTCCAGGTCACACTCACCTAGGGAAGTCCAGGCACATTTCTCAAGTCTAATGTAACACGTAGGGAGAGGTACTAAGTTAGGGGCTTGCTAACCTTAGTTGATGAGGTTTCATGAGCCAGGTATAGCACAGCAGTGCAACACTGGTGACATGACATTAGAAATTGACTGCTGACACTTGTCGCTGTGGATGGTCGCAACGCACTGCAAATCAAAGTTAACCTGACCTCAACTTCTTTCAGCACTCAAATAATATGGTAAAGCATCGACCAATCATTTGCTTTTGTTTCTAGCTGTTGTACTGTGTTATTTTGCACAGTTAGCTGACTCTATTCCAGCTTTCTGTGCATTGTGGTGCATACAGGGATGCAATAGGGTGGCGATATGTGATTGATTAAAAGCACAAGCACGTAATCACAGACAACAGAACAGGTAAACTCACAAAGGGAAGCTAACTGTTAGTCTCTCCACACAGCCATGTGGAACAGGCGAACAGAAACCAGGAATGTGGAAGCAGAGCTCTTGGTCAAGGACAGAAGGCTGAGTTGTTTACTGGGGAGCAGGCGAAGCAGATGAGTCAGAGGAAGGCGAGGTTGGCAACAAGAAAGCAGTCCAGGAATAAATGCTGGACAGTCTTGCACAGGATCAATATGGCAACAAGAGCTTGTGAAGCTGGAGTCTATATAGGGGCAGGGAATAATGAGCCACACGTGAGTGGAGCTGGCTTGATGAGGTGGGTGTGGTAGAGTGGCAGGAGTGGGAGATGTGTGGACAGGTGATAGGCTGGCAGGTAGCTGTGTGGAGAGGCGGGGTTAATGGAAATTTACTGGGTTAACTGAGAGAATGGCATGTATGGCATATCGGAAGTGCACACTGTGACAGATATGGAGTCTGGGCTTTTCATGGGTGCGCTCACAACTTGTTTTATTAATTGAGACATTCAAAGCCATTCACCGAAACAACAAGGCGTGTTTTATTGCTTGAGCCGAATTTTAGTCAATTTTCAGCATGTAAGTTGTTAGCTCAGAGGTTGTTGTTTTCCCTTAGTGAAGGAGATTTGGAAATGGTAACACACAGATAGCAGAGGGGAGGGAGAATGCCGACCTAAATCAGCCGCCCAATGGCAGGCTTAGAGTCACAGTCTACATCCGGTGAGTCAGACTAGTATTATAGACAAAAAGTAAAGGGATCATGAATGTGTGTACAAAGTTTCATGGAAATTGATCCAGTAGTTGAGATATTTCAGTCAGGATCAAAATGGTGACATCAAAGATGGACAAAAATGACCCAAATTACTGTTTTGCTAAAGTTGAAGTTATAATGGATACTCTTTTACATTTTTTCTTAATCTTTGGAAAGTGTTAATGATAATCACAACAGTGCCTTACAAAAACTTTAAATGTACTTTATTCAGAAACTCAATTTGCCTCTAAAAGCATAGATGTTTGATATAGAGAATAAAAGCAGTTATCTCAGTAGAGGTACTTTTTGATTAAAAGAAAACAGCATGCTTTAAAGGATGGATATGTTTACGAAGATAGAGCAAGGGAAGTAAAGAGGAGAAATAAACAGTGGCTTATTGGATTTTGATTTGCTTCATTTAGGAAACAAAACCATTAAGTATAAATCGTGCTGTGATGGAGTTATAGCTTTACACTTGCTGCAGTCTGTGTGGCGTACAGATGGTGAGGCAGTTTGTCTTATTACAGATACAGTGATGGAAACAACACCCAGCCTGACTGAGGCACCTAGAATAATTCAGGACCTGATTTATACTCATGTTGAACACGGGAGGCTTTTCAACAGCAGCGGTGGCAAACACTGGGATCTGAACATACACTCACCCTGCACGCTAAAACCTCTGATGCAAAGGCTACTGTCATTACACTGGGGAGTTGACAACAGTGTGTAGAGGCACGGTGCTCCGCCTAACAGCAAATCAATATTCGTGGGTTAAAGTGTAAAGTGTGATTAATGTATCAACACTCTAATATGGACAGCTCCCAGCAGTGGTTCTGAATGCTTGTTAATGTCATAGATCTATTTCTGGAAACGTATTAGCATTTTCATAGTTCTGCAGGGGATGGAGCAGAATCAACGCTATTCTCTTTTGATACTGTACATGAATATTCACAAAGAATAAGGCCTCATTGACATTCAGCAGAGAAAATGTTTCAGCAACATGCTGTGACAAAGCTTGATTTGCAATGACGTGTGTTTTCCGTGCGCGGATGTAACACTTTGTACGCAGTGTTTCTGTGAGTGCACGAAACTGTGTGTGTCTGTGTGTGTTGACTACAGCCCTAACCCAACACTTTCTACACCCAGGCATTAAGAGACTCTCAGCAGATCAAAACTTCACCAATTAGATCTACGCCTAATGCGGCACTCTCTATTAAAAACAACACAGACTCCATTAAACACAAGTCTTCACCATAATTAATGTGGCATTTGTCTGACATCAAATAATAATGAAAAAAGCAAAGCCCTGTCAGTTTCTGAAAAAATGATGAGATGGATCACCTCAATTTCCGGCCCAAACAAAACATGCAAAAATGCAGTTATTTTCCTGTCGGTCCATAAATGACAGCAGGCAGCGAGACTGGTGACACAGTTTAGAGCAGCAGAAAGGCATCAAAACAACAAGACCAAAACCTCATTCAGAAGCCTGTGACGTTAGAAACCCATTTACGCCCCTGATCTGTATTCAGATATTTTATCTGGATATTTACATCTGATCATGGGCCTTTCCATTCACACTGATTATTCATTATATTATCTCGACTCTGCTGCAGTTAGATGTGGTTTAATTTTCACAGTCGTTAACATGCATATTCCCTATTCCCATGCCATATGAGGCCTATTAGAGGCACCATTTAACATGCATGTCTTCGGACTGTGGGAAGAAGCCAGAGTACCTTGAAGAAAACCCTCGCTGACACAGGGAGAACATGCAAACTCCACACAGAAGGGTTTGCCCACTCAAGAGTTCAAACCCGCTTGCTGCGAGGCGCAAATACTAACCACTGCACCACTATGCCATATGTGATTTTAGACGCAGCAATAAAAAATGAAGGACTATTGAAGTACCAACCTCAGCCTGCGTGCGCCATACATCCAGGTTCTTCCGCTGAGCTTTGGAGAAATGGTCCCATGCCTTTTGTTTGGAAGCAGCGTGGAATACAGACACAATCTGTTCAACTGGAATGAGGAAGAAATGTGTAGATGTAGGGAAGGACAAAAGAAGGAGGAACAAAGAGGGAAAATGGCAGGAGTGAAACAATGAAGTCAGCTGGGGAAAAGAACCATGTCTATAGTATTATATGTTTCAAACCTGTGTCAAATGTGCTTGTCATTGTTAACACATATAAAGACACACAGCATGACACAGAGTCCCACTGGAACTCATTTCAGTGCATTTTAAACTGATTTGAAGCATCATAAAAAGTGTCGTAAACTCTTTCAGTCCTACACTATATATATATTTCCTCATCTTGTCTTGATCAGGTCAGGTGTATGTGCTTTTGATGATATTATTTCAGCATGGTTCGCATACCGTAAGAAGTCTTCTTGACAGATGCGTAGGATCAAAAAGTCTTGACTGTGAAGAAACCATGTGCGGGATTCTGTGGTTTCTTTAAAGTTTAATGATATTATATAATTTATAGCAGAGTGAGGTATTAATGCAAGAAGAGGAGAAGCAAACAACATGTTTCACTGTGTTGTGATCCTATGCCCTGTACCATCTACTGACATAAAGATTTCTAATACTCTTTACCTTCTAGCCTGCGCACACCAATAATTAATACTCTGTCCAACAGAATTCTACACAGCACTTATCTTAAAATGGTGCAATTATCGCAGACACAGAAATGGTTGTTTTCTCATGAGGCTGGTTGTAATAGTAGGGCCCATGAGAGATCCCTCATTTCTTAGGAAAAAAATACTGAGAGCAAAAACTGGCTACTTGAAAATGAAACTATTTTATTGGAAGAGAATGTTTTGGATAATAAACCGCTGCCTGGTATTTGTTGTTTTAAACGCTAAGTGTTGCATTTTCAGGTTAATTTCTAAATATTATGTACTGTAACTTGATGAAGCATCAATGAAAGCATTAGCAGCATCTACTGGCCCCTGAACTGCGGTTTACACTTTAAATCCATCTAAATTTGCAGTTCTATGGCGTGAGGAGGGACTAAAATTGGAAATAGGATGTTGTTCTTTGTGTGCAAATTGCATGAAAGCTTACAGAGTTTTTGGCACTAGCAGATGGTAGGTTGACTCAAAAGCAAATGAAAAAACAACAAAACACTTCCATCATGTTTATTGTCTTCCCCGAGGCGAAGAAGAAAACTTTTAGCCAAAGCAGCAACGTCCTCAGTGTGACACAAAGCAAAAGAGTTTATAGGAAATCTGGGTCTAATTTTGGGAGTCATTTGAGATATAGGACATAATGCTCAAAATGTTTACCAGCCAAACGTTAAAATGAAGTCTCTGTCATCTTGTTCTGTAACAATACTCTCAGAGGCAGATGTGCCTTTGAGTGTTTGTGACTGGTTTTGTTTGTCATACAATAAGGCAACACACAGCTTACATCGATTGTTGTTTGCTCAGATGCACTTTGTTGAATGTGCTTCATTATAATGAAGTTTACAGAGGAGTGACAAGAAAACATGCAGCTCAGATTAGACTGACAAAAATAGTGATGACATTTAAGACAAAAATATATATGAATAATGAAAGTCTTTGAAAGTTTATCTCATGTCTGGTGCCTGATTATCTAGTGAGACCTGCAGCAGACAAAAGCAAATCAAAAAAAATAGCTACATATATACAGTGAGTTCCTTTCTTATTATTTCAGTCACAGCAGTTATTTCACAGATCTATTGCAATTATGCAAATTATCCTCATATCTTCGATGCAAACAGTGTTTTCAGCCTAAAAACCTTTTTAAAGAAACCCAACCAACAAAGCAATAAGAGCAGATGGAAAAAAAAGATATTTTCTTTTTGTAAATATTCTGCTATTTGGCAGCGAACTGATGTCGAGTCACTCTGTCATCAATCTTTAATCTACTCACCTGTAGTAAATGACTTTTGGGATTTCAGTCCAGGCCAGCAGGCATTAATTTAGAATCATAAATACTTCAGCATTCATGAGATGCCAAGATAAACTCTGTCTCTCTCTTTTTTTAAACGTTTTTTGCTGACTGGCTGCCTCCCTTCCATCGTAGTATTTTGGAGGCTATATTTAAGTCTGCAAATTTACACTGATGCAAAATGTAAAATGCTGTTTAGGGGCCGATAGATGCTGCTAATGTTTTCACTTATGGTGTCATCAAGTTACAGCATTGATGGACTACTGAATGGGCCTACCAGGCACAGACCCAAAGTGTCAGGCCCACCCTAACCTTCACCTGTACAATCTCACCCAAATTATCATGCACCGACCAGGGAGAGACATAAAATTAACACAAAGAGACACAAAAAGACCACAAAGAGATGCAAAGGAACTGCAAAGAGACAGAAAACGAATAAAAGAGACACAAAGTGACCGCAAAGACACACAAAAAGACCACAACAAGATGCAAAGAGACACAAAATGATTAAAAGAGACATAAAATGACAACAAAAAGACACAAAAAGAATACACAGACATGCAAAGAAACTGCAAACAGACACAAAATGATTAAAAGAGACATTAAATAACAACAAAGAGACACAAAAAAACACACAGAGATGCAAAGCAACTGCAAAGAGACACAAAACGGCCACAAGAGACATAAAATGACAACAAAGAGACACAAAAAGACCACACAGAGATGCAAAGGAACTGCAAAGAGACACAAAATGACCGCAAAAAGACATAAAGTGACCGCAAAGAGAGACAAAAAGACCACACAGAGATGCAGAGACAGAAAATGATCAAAAGAGAGACATAAAGTGACCGCAAAGAGAGACAAAAAGACCACACAGAGATGCACAGGAGCTGCAAAGAGACAGAAAAAGATCAAAAGAGACACAAAAAGACCACATAGAGATGCAAAGGAACTGCAAAGAGACAAAAAAATGACCACAGAGACACAAAACTACAAGAAGTTGCATCACAGCAACAGAGACGCAAAACAACAACATCTTTGTGTCTTGCTCCTCTGTAGCAAAGGTAGTGGGGCCTTTTGTATATCTGTGCCCAGGGGCCCATTGTTTCATAATCCACCCATGAGTTACAGAACATGAAAACATGAAAATGATTTGATAGTCTTCCACTACAGCTGAGGACGGTGAAGTCAGCATGTCATCTAAAACGAATCCCTCCATCACTCAATGCAATAACATTATGAAACTACAAGCTTGCTGTAGAACTCCACTCATCTTACCACCATTACATCATACATCCTGCCTACTATTAATATGTTCAGGGTTAAGACTGCATCAGCTCAGGGCTACATTATGGTGTATTGACATTGTCATTTCCCTCCAAGGTGAACATGGTTATATTATGAGCGAATATAGAGGCTGTTATATAAGACACTACAGTAAAACCTTGGAAAATGTGTGTATCTAAGTGTGTGTGTGTGTATTAGGTGTTAGTACTAATATTACATTTATTTTCAGATTACTTTAGTTTCATTGGTCGATAGACCCCACAAGTCGACTTTTCCACCCAATCTGCCTGGGAAAAGGAATGGCAGTCTGAGGACACCTTAAACAACCATCTGGTGTCAGACCGCATTCAACAGGTCCCTGGCAACAACCTCCCAGCAAGACAAAATCAACCCTCAGCAGATTCAGGAACAGCCACAGCCCCTGCTTGGCCAGTGATCACAGATAGGGGAGCAGCACAAACCCACTGTGTGTTTATGGAGAGGAGCAAACAATGGGACACATGATTGAAGCTTCACCTCTCAACAGACTAAAAACAGGAGTAGTAACCCTCCATACAGCAGATCAGGAGGCAACTTCTTGGGGAATGGTGGACAAGAGCAACCTACTGCTTTGTGTCTTTGTCAATCACTGGCAGTATGAATGTTCTGTGTGTTTAAATGTGCTTCATAATTAAAAATGTGTATTATTAATCAAACAAGCTAGTGAACACAATATAAATTGAGGTCTGACCGAAATAAAGTCTTATATACTTTAAAGGAGCAGTGTGTAGGATTTAGGTGCATCTAGCTGTGAGGATTGCAGATTGCAACCAGCTAAAACTTTGTGGTGGCCATGAGAACTCCTGGTTAGGATTCCTCCAGTGTTCATTGTTCAGGAGGTTTTTACCAGGAGCTGAATTATCCTTAGAAGTCTCTAACTCTCAGAAACAAATGGACCTGGTGATTACATAGTAAAAACACTGTATAAAGCAGTTTCATGTTATAAATCAGTGTTTCTCCAACGCTATTTCGCTAGCCCAGTACCTGATAATGTGTGCTCAGCTTTCTCTCATAACTTAAGACTTAGACATTCAGAAAGTTTTTAGTGGGAGCCAAATTAGCCACAGAGGCCTCTTTCTCTCCAGAATCAACGCGCCAGGTGATTTAAACTGGTAAAAACACTGAAAAAATCAGTTTAATGTCAAAGATCTATGTTTTTCTATCACTGTTCAGCTCATACCGGAGGAAGCTGCTTACTACGGTGGCTGATGTGAAAGCGCAAATGGCCCCATCTAGAGCCAGTAGCCCCTTTTACACTGCCAGATTTTCCGCAAATGTTGTGCCGTTTTGCCGGCCAGCTGCGAGCGTTTATACACACTGAGGCGGAGTGGCGAGTTGATCTGAGGCGCCCAATTTTCCGCCTCGTAGGGTCGTCATATGGGCGGAACCCTTTTAGTTTAAACAGACCGAGGCGGCCTTCCGCAACGGGAGGAGCTGTTGATGACGCCACACGTGCAAGCCACTGGCGGTGGATAAACAGGAAACAGCTGATAGCAGGAATTAGCGAGCAGATAGTAGCAAGAGGGAAACACTAACCTGACAGACACTGTAAAGATGGGCAACTGGGGAGACAAGGAATTGCGCGCCTTCCTTGCCCTCGCAAACGAAGAAGCCATTAACCGTCAGATGACGGGGACAGTGAAGAACGGGCCGATTTACGAGAGAATCGCCACCTGACTAGCCGCAGCTTCCCTCCCACGTCACTGTTTACATCACACGCTGAGCTACAGGTTGTGTTACTTGCTCACGCCCCCCATTGCCCCGAAAAAGGCGCACT